AACAGTACACACGGGGCAATTGTTTGGAAGACGATTCTACTTCCGATAAATAACCATGAAATTTTCCTACACGTTAGGTACGTGGCGAAAGATATTTATTTCAAAGGTTTATCGATTCTGCTTCGTCTACATCACTCCATCAATCTAAGTGATTTACTAAAGCTGGCTTCAGCCTCCAGAGCACATTATCAAAGCCTCTCAGTATACGATCGAAAATTTATTTCACATTCATAATTCCGATGTTAAACATTAAAAAGAAGCACAAATTGCTAGCGAGAATTTTATTATAGCGATCTTCAAAGACCTCGTTAGGCTTTCTCTGAGTAGGTTACCTTTTGTTGGGGGACTAAGTAATGTCCAGTATTCTGCGAAGGAATTTTCTATTACGGAGACCACTAGAAAATGAAAATTCTTTAACGTGGCTTAAATAATCTCTTAGGAGGGAACGAAACTGAATCTTTTATCAGTTTTATCTAACTTCATATCTCTGTGAACGGGGAACTGGAATCGTCAGTTTGTCGATAACAAATATTTTGTAATGTAACGTAACTCGAGATTCTGCTCCATTTTTTGGTTGGAAATGTATTCGTATATTTGCCGAACATGTGAAAAATATACAGCAGTTGTTCTTTATATGAGCATATTAGGAACATTTGTCGGTATTTGTTCTGTGCGTTGAATAGCGAAGATTCGAAAGATTTTTGTATTCGATGTCGAAAGGGAACGCTTGAAACAAAGGTTCGCTTTACTATTGTTGCCATTTCACGAACAATCTTAGCAAACCGCTTTTGATCCGGAAAATTGGAGGAAAATTTATTTGAGCGGAATTGTTGGGTCAGATGTTTTAACTTCCTTTATGTTATTTTTACTCAAACAATAAATGTTACGATTTGTTTTCTTGTGTTTTAAATGACACTTGACTGTTTTATTTTTAACATTTGCCAGTAATAATAGGACTAGGTAATATGGTTTGTAAATTAAACTGTACATGTTATCATGAAATTTTCCTCGAGGTTAAGTAATAGGTTTAGCTACACGTATGAAAACAATGCCTAAAGATTTTTTATCCGCTGCCACCATACAATGATGTTAAGTTAAAATTCCCATCATTCTATTAGACAATATTATATAATTAAATTGACAATGTACAACGAAAACAATCAGCGTTGTTAAGCATGTGAACATCTAATTGCAACCTTTAATTGTTACGCGGACAATGTTTACTAATATTAAACATAACTTGACCTTTCAAAGTCAAGGTTAACTTAAACACAACTTAATAAAACATTACCTTTAAGAACATGTTAATATCCCACTAGTTAAGCACAATTTCACACAAAATTTAATGAAATAAAATTGTCACTATTTATGTCACTCGCGTGATAAGTGCGGTTGTCAGTTGTGCGCGGGAGGCTGTCGCGCGGCACCGGCGCGTCTGAACCGCTGTGCCTGCGCATACATCACGTGCGTTCACTACCAGCGCCACCCGGCCCGCCACTATGCGGACAAGTATGGAACTAACGGGGCTTTCCACGGTCCAACGATTCACTGAATGGTTGCATCTGACGAAATGTATTGCAGTTTTATTGATAAGTGTAGAAAGGTAGTTATTACAAATCGGCTAAATATTGTGTAGCTTATGTAAGTTCAGGATGATTATCCTAACGTTACGTTACGTAAAAAATTGTAACAAGATTTATAAAGGATGTATAAGTATTTTATGACTCAAATTAGCATATAAACGACTAGGAAACAAATCATTCGAGGAAACAAGTGCATAATGTTTGGGTGGTAAACAAAGCATGCGAATCAAGCTGGGTACACTGAAATTGTGCATTTGCTACTCAAAGAGGAGCAGGGACTGTAGAGCTGTGCAAATATGTATGCACGAACACTCGTTGGCAGAGTAAATATATGGAATATATATTCCATGGATGGACTCCGCTTGCCGTATCGTCAGGATACAGGATTGGGATAACCTTTTAACTCCGCGATTTATTTTGTTATTTGACATGATATAAAGCGAAAGAAAACTTACTTATGTTAGTGTTAATCAAGGCACAAGAGTTTATTTGGAACGATTTTTTATCTAAGATCGTCCATTTTTAACCATCTGTAGTAGAAGAGTATTGTTATTTGCGTTTGTTACTACTACATTTTTCGACCGAGGTTGTTTAGCTTCACATGTTTGCTATATGACGTATGTGTACGTGCTGATATTATATTCTTCATTTGTGTGCATTTCTGGTTTCGGTTAATCGATACAATTATCGCATCTTTTCGCGAAAACATTTTCAAATTTTCTTATCAATTTCCTAATTGTATGTTGCTTACTTTATGACTACATAATGACGAAATTAGCAACACTAATTGGACTGTATTTTTTACATTTTCTTTTAATATCATTAGTTTTATCTATCTTGTGTTACACCCGTATCGCTTTCACTTTACACTAAATAAATTGCGTTTCAAATGTGACTGGTTACGAGTAATTTACTTAGTTTGTCGGACTCTCGTTGACATTTTACACATTATTTTTGAATATTTAGAATAAGCGGTTAAACAATCGCGCTTGTCATGCGATGTTGATGCAAAGATTTGTCTCCAGATCCATAAAAAATATTTGTAGACTTATGTAAATTACTATATCTTCGGATGAATGCTCAGGATTTCTTGGAATATTTATTAATACGCTACGAATTTGGAGCCATCATATTTTGTAGCTAAAGTCTGAGAGTGACATTGATTCGTGTAGTATGTCCACATTACCTAAGTTTACTTAGTTTTATTCATTCGTCTGTAGACATGTTTTTATACTGTTACTTACACTTAAAAATTTTTGCCTAACAATAAGCAGAACTCGTAATATTGCAGAATTGGTAACCATACGCGCCAAATACGTGTCCACCATGCCATCATATTATTTTATCAATTGCAAAACTTATGGATGAATTATTAATCATTCATAATTTTTTTACACTTTTGCCCAATATTAAGAAATAGGTATCTGTCAATTTTGGTTTTGGACTGCAAATTTCGAATCTATATCTTATTACCTACATAATATAGTGCTAATATTTATTGCATTCGAATGGGGCCCAATAAGGCTGATACTGATTCGGAGTCGCGGAGAATCTAACGGGTTACCGGGGCTCCGGCTCGACGTGCAGGAGAAGGAACGGGGTGATTTTTAGTCGGTAAGAGTCTGACACTCCCTTCCGCCCCACCCAGGCGGGAGCAGTCATTCGATGATTATTTCCCCCCTTAAAAAAATATTGTTGCATTGCTAAATGTGTCAGAAGTAAATATAGTAGGTACATAAAGGGTTTATGAAGGAGTCACGTTTGTCTATGTCCGGCTTACCACGCGTTTACCGGCCACAGGTAATATTCCATTCAGGGACAATCGCTTTAGTTTTTTATGCTCTGAGTGACGTACAATACATCATTATACACGAAATGCTGAGTAGTCTATGCTCTATGCAATTTTTTATCATTAATAATAGGCAATTTGGTCTTTAATTTATTAACCAATTTGGCTTTTTAATTTCAGATCTTTATGAGTTAGCAATTTTGTGCTTAAAGAATATTTTGTTTTAATGGCATTGATGGCTTTTATATATAAGTGTTTACAGAACATAATTATTATTATTATCATCTTTCCTGGGCATAATGCAATATAAAGTTTACAAAGAGTTTTCGCTGAATTATTTCTTTTTTTATCTATATTGCAGTAATTTTTAGCCCAGGGCACACTACAAGTCCTAAAATACACATCTACTACTTCACTTAAGTTTCCACAAGTAGTACAATTTAGTTCAAAGTTTGCGTCACAAAACTTCCCCAATGTTTATTCTTGTAACATTAATGTACTTGGCCTGTCCTTGCTCATTGCTAAATAACCTCAACTTGAACGACTTAGACTAGGTTATACACTTAATTTAGATATTCACACACGTAAAGAGGTCCTAATCATGTTTGTTTTGACCGACCTTGATGACGTCACTGTTGACATAGCATTTTCATGGTTTACTTCAATTACCATCTAGGAAAATCCCCATGGATTAGTGCCGTATGAATATTAATTCCCAGATATTGTGTTTTGTTTTTACTTTATTTTGGTGATTGGTTTCAATGTGTTGTTTGAGTGAAATAACAGTTTTATTGTGTCAAATTTTTGTATCCATATAGACCGATGTTTTGTCCCTTTTGTGTTATTGGTCAAATGGCTACATACCTACATAATTAATTTTTTTTTTTTTTTTTTTTTTTTTTTTTTTTTTTTTTTAAAGGGGGGAAAATCATCGAATGACTGCTCCAGCCTGGGTGAGGCGGGAGGGAGTGTCAGACTCTTACTGACTAAAAACCACCCCGTTCCTTCTCCTGCACGTCGAGCCGGAGCCCCGGTTACCCGTTAGGTTCTCCGCGACTCCGAATCGGCATCGGCCCTATTGGGCCCCATCTGTGGTGGTCTGATGGCTCTTTGAGGCGCGCGCGGAACGCGACGCGCCGTACGCTCGGGTCTGTTTCTGGTCGGACGGGGAGCCACCCATGCTCGCCGTCCGCAGGCCCGCGCTTACGGTGGCCGGAGATCGTCCCGCGATCCCCGACGCCCGGTGTGTCCTTCGCGATGGCTGGGTTGCGAGGAGGCAGCGCTTCGCTGCCTCACGCGTCCCGCCTCCTCCTTAGCTAGCATGACTGCTTCGCAAAAGGAGGAGACGGCATCCCAATCCCCCTCGCTCCGCATCATGGCCCGCACTAGGCCCGGACGCGAGAGGTCGCCATCGCCGATCACCTCCCTGAGGGCACGGCGGTGCTCAGCCCACGCAGGGCATTCTCCCACTGTGTGTTCCACCGTGTCCTCAGGGCGGTCCTCGCAGTACCTACATAATTATTTGTGTGATTACGTAACTGATAACGTGATTCTCTGATTTGTTTTTTTTAACCAATGGTGATAATTTGGGCTTTACGCAACTAAAATGAACCAATGTGCTTCTCCAGAACGAGCGTCTCCTACGAAGTCATCAAAGCGCGCCAAAAAGGAACATGATCATTCATCGAAACATGAGAAACATGAAAAGAAAGAAAAACATGAAAAGCGGATGCTTGAGGGTTGGTCATTAAATGGTGTCCTAGATGTACTAAAACCTGTACATATACTAAAAATCAGTTTGATGGTTTTCATCACGTTCCATGAGCCTCTATTTAACAAGGCGAAATTCTTGATTTTAGAGGTCCTTTTTCCGAAAATGGAACAAATATGTAAAACCATACAACTACATAGATGTTGTATGCATGTCTAACGAAACAGCGACTAAATCTTCCCCGAATTTCGGAACCAGTTTCCTATTCATGAAATCAGGCATTGGTCACTGCATGCAGTTGTTTTACTAATCTAAAGCCGCCACGTCTCAACGCTATTTGCTCTCCCGCTTCACAATTTGTTCTAACTAACCAAAAGTACTTCGTTAATCGGAGAGCACTTAAGCAAAGTAACGTTGTATGTTCTCGATGTTGTTTCTCTCTATGTTAGAAAGGGGGTTGAAGACACAATTCCAGGTAAGAAGCTGGATCTCTTCTTGAATTGAATTATGCTTTTGAAAGTTTCATTCGTAACCTTTTCTTTGATAGGTGAAAAAAATGGAGAGGTTCTCGAACTTCATTGTTTTTTTATCGACGTAGACCTAAAGGGAAAATTTATTTACTTTATCAAAGCTTTTGTACCATTGGGACTTCGTTTCAGAGATCAGACCTTATTTTGTAACTATTGATCAGATTTGGCTAACTTTTTCTCCAGAATACCTTGAGTGACATTTTAGAATGTTACTTTTAAATTGCTTCACAATCATTTAGTTCTTCAAAAGCAATTGTTTATATTTTTTACCACAAAACCAAGCATTTAACCTTCAGTACAGTTTGTGGTATTTTATGTGTTTGAAAACAAATCTACATCAAGTCGTTACGTCATCTTGCTAAGCTGTGGGCTATCTACGGTTATTAAAGGCTTACTTCAGAAGGTCGGACGGCCACGTAATCCCGGCGCCCTGTTAAGGTGTCGCAGTTAAGTGCCGTTGCAAGCTCTATCCTCACTAGACATTTCATTGAATTAAATTTTTATTGCCCGTATAAAGCTTAAAATACCCTTTTAGTGTTTCAACGCGATTTATTGTGTGTTCTTTAAGTTTTACGGCGGGAATTTTATAACAGTGGTTTTATTCTTTAGTAGTTTGGTACTGGACGGTTTTTAGTTCATTGCTGGTTTTAAACTGTTGACATTTGTTTTGGTCTTATAAAAGACACTTTTACTTACGCAATAAACATGTGAACATTACATAAAAGTACTCCAAACTTTTTTCTGATTCAAATAATCATTTAAATCATGTACGAGGTTCATCTGAATTTTGTATGAGATCATTGAATCATCAGTTTTATCAGGCATCTTATAACAAATATAACCTTATCTCTGTGTGTTAAATAAACAAGCATATATGTACAAACATTGCCTCATGGCGTTGCTCATAAAAACAGCAGTGTATTGCTGAATACGTCTGCAAAGTGATTGTCCATTATTTTGAAGTCAAGGCCGCTAATGATGCGGCAAATGAAAACAATGAAAAAATAATTGTTAAGGTCCGTTTTCACTACGAAGATTATTTTTCTACGAACAGTCAGTTGTGGAAAATTTTAATGATTGTGTTGAACGATGTTCCTGAGAATTTTAATCGTGAATCACTCGATTTATTTGTGTGACGGAAACGCACCTTTATCGATTGTTTCAATCACGATGTTATTAAGGAAATAATTGGATTAACTGATACCTACATAATTAGTTGAGTTCTGGGAAAGGCTGACTTTGCATGTAGCGAATTAACTTTTCCTGTATGAGTAGATATTATCTATTCTTTTGAACCAAAGAAATGATAAAGAATACTTATCAAATATTTTTAAACTACAAGACTGTACAGAAAAATTATACTAACTAATAAAAATCGAAATTAAAATATTTAGGTATATATTTTTTTTAGCACTGCAGGCAAATGAATATGCGAGTTTCATTCGTATGTACTTAACCAGCGCAATCGTTTGACTAGCGATTCCTTACTTCACCACCACCGTACACAATCAAATGATACACGCTGTGTTCTGTTATATATTTTAAATATACATGCAATCATTATTTATCGTGTAAATTAAATAAGCTAGTCAGAAACACACCCACAGAAAACCGACGTGAAACAACGCTTGCGTTGTGTTTTGTTGTGTGAGTGAGATTACCGAAGGCCCAATTACCCCACACCCTAGTCTCCCGAATCCTCCACAATCCTCAGATTCCCATGTCCCAAAAGGCCGGTAACGCACTTGTAACGCCTTGGTGTATCGGGTGTCCATGGGCGGCGCCAATTGCTTACCATCAGGTGATCAGTCTGCTCGTTTACCGGCCTATGCTATAAAAAAATGGTCATATATTTTTCGTAAAAACAAAAGAAGAACATAAATAAGTTTCCCTATTGAAAGTGGCCAGCTTGCCACAGATAACATAAACATACCTATAGGTATGTTTTAATACCATGCTATATTATAATATAGCATGGTCGAAACTGAGTATGTTTAAATTAATATAATGTGGGTTATAACATGACAAATAATATACAGTTTCATATTTTTACAACAAGATGTAAACAAATGAACACCGTTGTCGTTTCGCTTGGTTAGTTAAGTTAACCGAGGGATTCTCAGTTACCTCATTATTATGCAGCGCAAACGGCATCGCATCACGAGTATGTATGCGAGATATTTCTTATCTGTGTCTTTAAAATTTGCATACATATAATGTAGATACATTCTTATTTTATTTTATGCAAGTTGTTGACACTGGCTGTTGTGAAAATAAATTGGTCCAGATTAAAAAAGTCGGTTTAGTTTGTGTTGACCTGATTGTTTCTTATAATATGGATTTTTTTATGGCATAAGCCGGTAAACGAGCAGACGTATCATCTGATGGTTAGCAATCGGCGTCGCGCATGGACACCTGGAACACTAGAGGCGTTACAAGTGCTTTACCGGCCTTTTGGGGATTAGGAGTTTGAGGATCGTTGGGGATTCAGGAATTAGGGAGATTGGGGAAGGGGAGGGTAATTGGGCCTCCGGTAACCTCACTCACATGACGAAACACAACGCAAGCGTTGCTTCACGTCGGTTTTCTGTGAGGCCGTAGTATCACTCCGGTCGAGCCGGCCCATTCGTGCCGAAGAATGGCTCTCCCACACTTAAATTAATTAATTTGACTTAAACCGTTGGGTTTTTTCAGTGGTTAGTTATTGAATAGACTAGTTCTAGTATCTCTGGGCATCATCAACTAACCTTTCAAACATTTTTCATATAATAGTTTCAACACTTGTTTTAATATGATAAAGGAACTTCTCGGAGTTTAACGAAAATGTATTGATTGGTTCAACTATTCTCTAGTTTTAAGCTCCCAACATATTTATTTAATTATATTTTCAACACCAGATCGAGCCATTGTTTACGTATTCGATTCGTAAATAAGGTTTTGTTTAAACTTTAGAAAATTTTAACGTCAACACACCAAATGACAGAAAGATAGACAGCAGATGTTCATTGTAGTATTAAAACAATAAACAATGATGAACTGATGTTGGTTTACCAAATATTCCAAGTCTTAATGACAGCTTGATGAGATTCGTAGCATGATGGACATCTTTTTACGTGTGATGTTCATGCAGTGGCGTGCAGTCCATATAGGCAAAAAGGCTTTGCTTGACATAAAATGTACAAACGCGTTTATTAAGATTCAATAATAAAATAAAAGTTTGTAAAAAAACGGCTAACATAAATATACATTCACATATACTATACACGGACCGCACGCCTTTGTGTTCATGTGTGCAGAAATATTTATATTATATGTACATAACATCACGCCAATTATCCCCGAAGGGGTAGGCAGAGGTGCACACAGAAGTAACACCCACTTTTCACTATTCATGTTATTAGGCCCATGTAATAGGGGGTGAGCCTATTGCCATATACCGGGCACAATTCCAGGCTCCATGCTACTACTGAGATTTTTTTTTAAAACCCAGTAATACTTTGCCCGACCCGGGAATGGAACCCGAGACCCCTTGCCTGGCAGTCACACTTGCGACCACTCGGCCAACGAGGCAGTTATATATGTATGTTTATTTATAAAGACTCAATGGGATAGTGATTTAGTGAAACACCGTATTTGCATCACCCTTTTTTATGGATAGTCCAGTAAGGAATTTTATAATATAGACAGACAAAAATGCAGATCAACGTTTGTGAGATCACCCGATCGTAGAATCACCCCGGCGCATATATTCTTCGGTGTATTTATTAAACCTATGTGTTTTATAATAACTATCGTGAGACTACATTAACTAAATCGCGGGTTACTCTCGTGTATGTACTGAGAAAAGATCTACTAGTTTCGAACCACAGAGGGGTTCTTTCTCATTGAGTCAATTCCACAGTAAGCTGTGCGACATTGCCGCAACTGCGCACGAGAGGATGAGAACTAGTAGAGGTTTTTTCAGTATATTCACGTGAATAACCCGCGATTTTAGTTAAACCTATGTGTGTCGATACAAGTTATTATTCGCTTGCAAATATTAAATACAGTTAATATCAATGAAAAGAAAGAGTCATTACAGTTCTTTTATAATACTTAAGTAGATATAATTTTGAGTAATCAGACAGACATGTGGGAACGTTTTTTACAAGGAAGATGATATCGGTTGGAATCAAAGTGACTCGAGTCATACAATCGCGAATGAAGGCCATCGTTCGCGGAATTGCATTGATTTACTCAATGTTACTTTTCTATGCAGTAGTCTTGAGACTTATGCTTCTATTCGTTAATATTTATTTGAAAATTTTATTAGTAGTCTTTATTACAAAAATACATGCTTTTTAAATTGTAACATTACAGATTCGACTTTGAGCATTATATTACAATAATACCCCCCTGACTAACGAGCATTTGCGTGTAATGTAACATATAGATTCGACTTAGCATTTCATAGCAAGGTGTCAGACACTGATGTTACAAGTTGTATCAAGATATTACA